GGGCCGCGGGCAGGCTGGCTTGTCGTGCTAAGCGCTGACTGACACCTACAGCCAGCGGCCCTCTGCCAGGGGCAGGGCAGGTCCTCCTGCAGAGGGGTGGGCAGGCGGAGGAACACCGCGGCAAGTCAGCAGAGGGAGCAGAGGCAGCCTTGGAAAGCCTGTCCTGGGTAAAAATGCCAAAAACGGCTCTGGAGGAACCTCCTTAGCTGCCTTCTGCCTCCTGAAAGGAGACAAAGCCAACCCAGCGCAGCGTTACACAGGGTTCTCTTGCTTAATCAGTGACTGCCTTGCTTAATCAGTGACTGCCTCCTGCAGTTTGACACCACTTGTGACAAAATTGGCACTGTTTGCACCCACCCTGCACAGTTTTGATGCTCTCAGCTGACGCACACCTTCCCCACACCTCCGCTCAGCTGAAAGTGCCTCCCGCTCTGCCAGCAAGGTCACGGCACTGTCCCCGAAGCCAGGCAGCTTTTGCAAGGCGTTGACATCACAGAGGTGTCATCTGGCACCGAGTGCGACATGGAGACACTCCAGCCACTGTTCCACACTTGCCGATGTAGAAACCGGGCTCGGTTTCCAGCTGGGCACTCTGCCAGGGAGTCAGGTGAGTCACGGACACAAAGTACTTCCCGACAGCCTTGCAGTCGGACACCTCCTCGGCATGGCTGTGACCATAACGCAGTTTCCATAGGGCTGCTCACAGTCTCCAAAGGGCTGAGCAGCCTTGGAAGGTCTTGGACCATGTCTCCTTCAGGCAGACCACGGCCCCTGAGCTTCGTGCTTCTTTTGGGGATGGGGATGGCATCAGGGAGAACCAACTGCCCGAGCAGGTGTAGCTGTCAGTACCTGGAAGTAAACTGCACAGGGCAGCAGTTGCAGGAGTTCCCTGAAGCCATCCCGCTGGACACCAGGCAGCTGATTCTGGCAGCAAACAACGTCTCGTACCTGCCGGCAGTGGAATTGAGCTTCTTGGTGGATTTGGTCTACCTGGACTGCAGGAGGAACCTCCTGGGGGGTGACCTGGATTTCACTTTCATTGGTGTGGCCAAGCTTGTCTATCTGGACCTCAGCTTCAACAATCTCACACAGGTCACCTTCAGCACCTTCTCACACCTCCTCAGCCTGGTGGTGCTGAAGATCTCAGACAATCCCAACCTTGTGGCCATCGAGAAGGATGCTTTTGCCAACAACACCTGGCTGAGGCACCTGGATGTGAGCCGGACAGGCTTAGTGTTCCTGGACACCAGCATGGTCCGGGACCTGCCCAACCTGAGGTTTCTGGGGCTCAGTGACAACCTGTGGCACTGCAACTGTTCCTTTTTGGACTTCATCATCTGGATGACAGAGAGCAACGTTCATTTTCCAGGTGAGGGCTGTGTGAGCAGGACCTCTCTCCTCTCTACTGCTGCAGATCTGTGTGGAATGGAGAGGGCCCTCTGTTCTTTCCCAAAACTTCAGCTCACGGGGCTGTGCCACTGCATGTCAGCTGTGGGTCCCATCTTCTGGTGTTACACAAAACACAGACCAGAGCAGCTGGGTTACATGCACTCCACCCAGAGAGTCACATTTTCTCCCATCCTCAGGACAGTCAGGGAAGTGTAGCCTGTAGCTAGGACATTGCTGCTGCTCCAAAACGCTGGGCTCCAGCCTCAGGACGTATCCCTGTGCCCACGAATCACAGCACCCCATGGCTGCAGTGCCAAGAACGAAGAGCTTGACAGAGCTCTGGGGAGATCTGTGCTGGGAAAGCTGCCGCTCTGAATTTCCTGCCTTGTCTCCATCTGCTCTGATCGTTTGGTGCTGCTGCAGTACCAACGTGTCCGTAACAATCAGTTAAGCCCCCTCTCTCCGTGGAAATGCTCTCCGGCCTCCATTCTGACTTGCTCGGGGCAGCCTCTCCAGCACTGAGCTCTCCACCGTTCAGCCAGTGTCCCCTTCACTTTGAACACCTCCCATTAGCCTCTTCCTGCAGTGAGCCTGGCAGGCAGACCTCATTCATGCAATCTCTACAGCCATTCTGCTCGATGATGCAAACAAAGCCAGGTTGAAAGTCAGTCAGCTCTTCTTCTGCTCTCATCTCTCGCTGTCGGGGTCTCTGGGAAAAGTTTGGGTAGCGTGGAAGCCAGCAAGAGTTTAGCTGCTGACTTCTGTGGGGCTGTGATCACACCCTGCTCCCCGCCTGACCCGTCTCCATACATGAATAGTGTGCACAATGCCCTTTGCCTTAAGAGCATGGCAGCTGTTGTGCTAGGACAGATAAAAATTACAAATCCTGCAACCTCGCACTGTCACAGTGCTCCTAGCCCTCGGAGCGGGTACATTTGACTGATCCTCTGCATCAGATGGTGACCCAATGCTCAGAACTCGGAGAGAGGCATTTTGCTGTTCCCATGGGAGCTCTGGTTTGGGTCCCGGCTGACGTTTGATGGTGAAAGTGAAACAGAACACAAGTTGCGCTCAGAAAAGCCTCTGTATCCTTATGACTGGGAGGCTCCATATGTTCCCACACTTCCTCCAGCACCCCAGCTCTCTCTTGTTTCAAGTTTTCCAATAGAAGAAATGCAATGCAGGTGAGCACTGAGTCCCACGGGCTGCAGCAGCACAGTGCAGCTTGCTTCTGAATAAAAACCATTTCTTGATAACAGGGTCTCCAAGACTTCTTTTCTTACATCATCTGGGATCCCAGAATCAGCTGTTTCCCATCATATTGAGAGATTCTACAGCTGGGCCATGGACACCGTGTGTTCATGAGGCAGGGTAATCACCAGTTCCCTTTCCCAGAAAAACACTGGTCCCCAGGGCAAAGCTTTGTTCTGCAGCTGCAGCGCATGAACTCACTTTTCCAAACTGAAAAGGAACACGGCACAACACATACTCATGAAGAAAGCTTGGGTTTCAGTGATGCAGGACACAATAGCGAGGGTGAGCTGCGAAAAAGGTATTGTTTGAGAAAGTCTGTCCATCGAATAAGAAGGGGCACGAAAGAGCCCCAGAGGAGAAGGGCAAATGGAAGCTGGTGTTAGGACAGAACTGAATTAAGGACATCTCTGTGTCTTATTAGCTGTACTAAGCACCCTATGGACAGTAAAGTTATTTATTTTCCTCATACAGGTTACAGGCAGTTATGGAACAGTGTGAAAAAGTACTGTTCTTAGCAGTAAGACTGGAGAAACCACACTGAACTGAGAATAGAGCTCATTCCAGGCAATTTGAGAGGGTAGGAATAGGAAAGGCAGTGGCAGCAAGGAGTGGAGGTATGAGCGTGGATCCCCGCACCACGCTGCAGAAAATGGGAAAGCCAAGGAAACCAGGGAGCCCGCAGAGGCTGCTCCACTTCCCCGCTGTCTTGGGCTTTGCTGTGTCCTGGTGAGATGCTGTGGGCAAGTCCGCAGGAGGCCGTGTGCCTCCCGGGACTGGTGTGCGGCTGTGCAAAGCTTTCAGGCTGCCGGTAAGCACGCGCAGGCTGGACAAGCTGCATGAGAAACACCCGTGCCTGCCTTTAGGCAGGAAAGGCAGCTCCCTCTTCATCGGGGCAGGTGGCCCTAAACCAAGGGTTGTGACAAGAGCTGATGGCTCTGGTGCAAAGGGATGTTGGGACAGAGCCCTGAAATCTGCTGCCAGCAGATCCCCATCCTGGCCCTTAAAAAGCTGCTGCTGCTTCACGGAACATTTTTGCACCAGTGTTTTGTGTTCAGCTGGATCTGTGCAGTCTAGGTGCTGACATGAAGTTGCCCAAACCTAGATGGATTTGGGTAACAGAGAAAAGCTCTCTGGTTATCTTCAGGACAATGGGAGATACCAGCATGAACAACCACTGCAGCTGTACCACTCAGTACTATATGATGTAATGTAATGTAATATAAATGCCCTGCAGCTTGTTCCTCTCCACTGCTCCCTTTCCCTCAGGCCCACCCATCAGCAGTGACCAGCCTGTGCCTGGCACGGTGACTGTGTCCGGCCCAGGGAGTTCAAAACCTGCAGGGGACGGAGAGAGCTGTGGCTGAGGGCACACCGTGCTTCTACAGACAACGAAAGGAGACGGTGCTTGTTACCACACTCCACCTTCGCTAACTTCAGAGAGAAAAGCCAGCATCTTGTTTTATCACCGCATATATTACAGTACGACAGGGCACCTTCATTACTTCGGTGGAACTGAATCATTGAAGAGTTTCCTCTTCCTCTCTCAAAAGAAAAGCAGGTGGGGATATGCCCAACTGCAAACCACTCTGGTTGTCAAACTCATTATTCCAGCATGATTTAGGCTATGTCACTTCCTGGGGTGTTTGAGATAAAAAAAAAACCAAAACCAAACACAAGTGCTCTTACATTAACATGAAGTTGCTCAATCAGCAGAGATGAACAGTGCAGGTACAGCGGTTTGCCACAGTGGCATAATCCAAAAGGCAATGTTTTCCTATGGAGGTAACACCACAGAAATCATTCTGGCAACCTGGGAATTGTGATTTGGCAAGGGTTTGGCAAGGGCTTGCCTATGTGATTTTACCTAAGCCATGGAGGGAGAGGGGGGTGAAGTCCATAGACATTTTTCAGGAGTTTAGCAAACTCCTCCATCATTTTTCTAGCCTTAACACTTAAGAGACAGGCAACAGAGTCTTGCTTCTGCTTTTCCCTCTTCAGATGCCGACAACATCACCTGCTATACCCCCGAAGGCCTGCGTGCCCTGAAAATGCCTGCAGTGGAGGCACAGCTCCGCTTCAGCTGCCTGATCCAGCTGTACAAGCAAGACTACATCTTTCTGTGTCTCATTGGCTTCTGCATATTCTTTGCTGGCACCGTGGCGGCCTGGCTGGCTGGCGTCTGTGCTGTCATCTACAAAGTCCATACGTCAAAGGGAGAGGATGGGGATGAGGAGGAGGAGGAAGACACGGTCACTTAGGATTAGCCCTGGAAATCCTTCTGAATTCCCATCGTGGGAACTGAGGGCAGGCCATTCTTGCCTGATTTCCCACACGATGTCCTGCTCTAGATGCTATTTTTTTGAAGTGAAATAAAACTGTAAGAGAAGAAAGCCTCTGTGCTCTGGTTTCACTCACTGTGCTACCTCCACTTGTCTTCTTCCACCGGGATTCAAGACATTGAGGGGGAGAGGTGTGCATGGTGCCAGGCATTTACACTCCCACTTTACCATGAGACCACAGAAAAGCAGGGTCAGTGTGGGGCCTGTCCTGTCACAGGGACAGCCTGAAGAGGCATGACCCGGGATACGGGAAAGGCGCTGGCATTGGGCTGTAGCCAGGGAGTTCACCAAGACCTTTTTGACCAGAAAGCCCAGCAGAGCTTATTGGGACCAGCCCCGATAGCTCACTGGAGTCCCAGGGAAGCGAAGAACTTTCTGCTGCGGAACGGCAGGTGTGTGAGCAAAGAGATTAGAACCAGGACTTTTAGGGGCCGGGGATCCCACTGGGTCTTGCTGTCACCCACATTAGACTGGTGACAGCAAAAGACACCTTCTGTCCCCCTGCGGCCAGACCCGCTGTACCACTGTTGTCCGAAAAGCGAGCTCATGGCCCGGTGTGCAGTAAATCAACTGTCACACGCCTCCACTGGTTTATGCACATTTACAGAACTGGAATGTCCAGCTCCAGTTTTGTATCACATATCCCTAAAAACAGATTATTTTTTTTAAATGTGAAAAATACTGCTTACGCACACTCCCAAGTATTCTTGGAAATGGCTTCTGTTTCGATGTCCCAGGGGTGCAGGTACAGACCAGAATAAAGGGAGATGTAAATAAGAGCCTTCCTATCATTAACGCTGGTAATTGCCCGGCGAAGTATCTGCTTACACGGCCGAGTACAGCAACTCCGCGTGTGAAACCCTGGCTTCTTCAGCCGCCACTAGCAGGAGCTGGTGGGAAAAAAAGGGGAAAAAATGCAGAAGATTCCAGCAAGCGCGGTGTGGATTACCATGCCGTCTTAGAGCCATTAAACTGTGGGCTGCGAATGAAAGCTGGAATCCTTCTTTGGGTACAGTCGGTGTGACAAAAATGGCTGAGGGTGGCCCCGCGGGGCAGCCCTGCCTCCTGGGCCGGGAGGCAGGC